CTCTCTCTCTCTCTCTCCTTCACCTTATTTCCCCCGTCTTCTTCTCCGTATCCATCTCTCTATGCTCTCGTCTCATGTTCTCCCATGTTAGTCTGACAGAAAAGGCCTTTTTTGAAGTTCCATGCTCACAAGCTTGTGCATTTTTTATTCTGCTTTTTCTAATTTGGTCTGAAGGAATAAGGGTGGCAAACCACACAGCCCACAGACACCGTAGGGATTTACCCATGTCCTGTTTTCCTTTTTTTCAGCCTTTCCTTTCTTCCATCTTTTGAGGAGCAAACCGAATCCTTTTCAGCACCTCGAGCCTTTTGTAGTCACCAAAAATTAAGGTCCTTTTCTGCTGGATACACTGCACCATACTTGGCTTCATTTATCATGTCACCTCTGAATGCAGCTCACATTCTAGCAAATGAGTTTACTGTGAAAAACTTCCTACGACTGATTAATGAAAGTTTCTACTGGTCAATATGGGCACAAAATTCACTGGCCAGGGTGTTATTTTAGGGACACTGATTTGAGAGCACACACTTTTACAGAACACTGAAATACACAATATATAAGCTTCTGAACAAATAAATGGAGTTTAGTATGCTGTTGCTGTGAGCAGTGGTGCAGACCTACTGCAGAGCCCATTCTTTGTAAGTACAGTCCAACCTCAGTTATCTAAACCTCAAACTGAAGGCTAAGCTCTCTCAAATGCCACAGCAGACAAAGAAAATGTGAGTCCTCTTTCTGAAATGTCATTACATTCAGATACATATTTCAAAGGTACAATAACTAGGATTTTGATATCCCATAACAAAACTTTTCTACTTTGATTGAACCTTAGTAGGCCTAGAATATCTTAAATAAAATCAGACTCCACTGATTGCACTCACATAACATGGTGTGACAGTTAACAGGCCAGGAATATTGTCTTCTTTATTCCATGCATCTCTTTTTTTTGCTTGTCAAAATCTGACGCCTACATCACACTCATTCCACACAAACAGCAGTTGGGTCGGAGATTCAGGTATGTTATGCTAGTAGCGGCTAATGTAGCCTCAAGCTAAGATGAGGAGCAGGGCAACAGAGGTCGTCTGGTGGTAAGCTCAACTCCACAACCGCAGATGTTTTTCATTTTCAAACTTGTAGTCTTCAAACTACAAAATCACTGGAGGAAATTTATCAGACTTCACAGGCCTCGTTCTGGAGCCACAGAAGGCTTTATGCAACTATTTTCACATACGCAGTAGTACTCCCCGAGAACTGTAAACAGACTTTGATGTATGAAATTGCTGGAGTTTCCCTTTAACAAGAGTCTATGGTCATGCTAGTGGCTCTGCAAATGCGCACATCAGCATGTTAACATGTTCACAAGGAAAACACTGATGTACTAAATGCAAAGTACAATTGACGCTGATGGTAATGTCATGGTATTCAATCCAATAGTTGAGACACTTTAGTCTGAACCAAAGTGATAGACTAACTAGCTGACACTGCCATTCATGGAGC